GGTTTATTTTCAATTCGAAGTTTTTGGGGGGTACCAAAAACCAGCACTTATACAGGCGTAAAATTTTTGGCGGAGTAAAAATAATGAGGTTTAGTTTATTCTTTTGAAAAACGACAGTGCCTTGCGCTGAACAGAGTTTCACCGAAATCGCAAAGACCCAATTCGAGAAATTCAGCGGTTTCCAAAATTAAGGTCATGATTTATGCGAAAATGATAAGCAAACTTTACACCGATTATATATCATAAACTATGAGATTCATCTCTTTATTTTGGGCATCATTATAACAGATGGGTCCTTGCAAGTCAGCAAAACGCTTTAGGGCCTTGTAAATGCGCGCGATTTCGAGCAAAGCAAACATATAGAAATTATAGTTTTCGCTATTTGTTGACGTTTGTCAGCGTTTAAGAGTCCTTCTCACGAAAAAAGCATTTTCTTAAAAATTCGTAGTTTTTTTTCCTTCAAATTTTTTCAGGGCAACAACTGATTAACTAACTACCCGGACTCCGAATTTCATGGTCATTGAAAAACTGTGACATTATCTTCTATAAGCTCAAACTTGAGTAAACATTGAAGATTTTTAGCGTTTTGGCTGAGTTTGTGCTTTGGGAGTTGTCTATTGTTTCTAGTCTGTCATGATACAGCATTCTAGTTCAGCACGCGTGCAATGACCGCGCTTGGCTAACTTCCGAATGCTCACCGAGATATTATAATTTTGGTACAGTGAGACAGGCCATCGCGTGATACATAGAGGTTTAACTAACAATTTTCAATCAGTTCTCGTGCTTCTTGTGTCTTTGCAAAAAAATCAAGAAGTGCTACACACTAAGTCTACTTACTATTACAAAAATATCATTTTTTTATAGGTTTAATAGGTTTAATGCAAGCCAATAATTAAACCAACTCGTGACGGGAATATCTCGGTGAGCATTCGGAAGTCAGCCAAGCGTGGTCATTGCACGCGTGCTGAACAAGAATGCTGTATAATGACAGACTAGAAACAATAGACAACTCCCAAAGCACAAACTCAGCCAAAACGCTAAAAATCTTCAATGTTTACTCAAGTTTGAGCTTATAGAAGATAATGTCACAGTTTTTCAATGACCATGAAATTCAGAGTCCTGGTAGTTAGTTAATCAGTTGTGGCCCTGAAAAAATTTGAAGGAAAAAAAACTACGAATTTTTAAGAAAATGCTTTTTTCGTGAGAAGGACTCTTAAACGCTGACAAACGTCAACAAATAGCGAAAACTATAATTTCTATATGTTTGCTTTGCTCGAAGTCGCGCGCATTTACAAGGCCCTAAAGCGTTTTGCCGACTTGCAAGGACCGATCTGTTATAACGATGCCCAAAATAAAGGGATGAATCTCTTGGTTTATTAGATATAATCGGCGTAAAGTTTGCTTATCATTTTAGCATAAATTATGACCTAAATTTGGAAACCGCTGAATTTCTCGAATTGGGTCTTTGCTATTTTGGTGAAACTCCGTTCAGCGCAAGGCACTAATGCGCACTATGTGTAGCCGAGAGATTTTCACAAAAAAATACCGGCAACAGCCAATTTTCGACTCAGACCTCAAAGGGGCGTGGCATTATAACCACGTGACATTTACTCCGATCGCCAAAAATTTTATGTTATATTGTAGATTGATCCATATGTTATCCATTCTATGTGTTAGACTTACGATAAAAGTAAAGGTGGGGATACCAGAGAGCTTCAAAGAAGGATGGTACCCCCCCAAAAAACTGGGTCGAGTCACCTTAAAGTGGTGACAAACAAATGATATCTTAAGGTGACAGATTTAGTGAAAATCCTGTCAATCACGCAAACTCATTTTTAACCTGTGAATAAGACTTATGAGTCGTGTTAAGCCTGTCAACACTTTATTTCAAAAACGTGCCATGGGTAATTTCGTCATTACTAATGTCATCTCCGTCAATCAGCATTTTGCATGAACTTTTTCGATTCAGAATTTGAAGTTCCTGAGACGTCACTGCAAGTTCTCTTTCATTTTTAGCCCTGCCGCTAGAGCGCCCCGAAAAGGATGCTAGCGCGAAATTATTTCTTAGTTCCACTCGTCACCGTTTGGTTACACATACTAATTATTTTGTTTATTTATTTTTATTTCCCCACCTTTCAATGTTACAATTATAATTTTAAAGATTTTAGGAGAAAATGCAGAAGGCCCAAAGAAACCACAAGGCTTTTGTAAAGTGGGTGTTCTCAAATAAATTGCATAAACCACAAAACACCTTCAGGGAAATATCAATTGACCGGCCAAGGCAGAGTAACAATACGAAGTAACTGAGGTTAGTTTTTTGATTAGTGTTTGTACTATTTGTTACATTTTCCTATTGGTTATTTTGACTTCGCCCAGACCTACTCAAGCTCCATTCACTCGCATTTCAATTTCTTGAACCTGTACATTTCTTTTTGTGAAGAGTATTTCAGTGAAAGCTACTCGAAAATCCCTTCTTCTAATACAGTAAATAACTGGGTTTATAAGCGAATTAAGTAGTATCAGACAGCTCGCTATCGCATAAGCAATATGAGCTGCAAAGTGGGCTTTCTCAACTAAATTGCATAAAACACCTACTGGGTAATATCAATTGACCGGCCAAGGTAGAGGAACATTACGTAGTAATTGAGGTTACTTTTTTGGGTTACTGTTTGTATTATTTGTTACATTTTCCTATTGATGATTTTGACGGCTTCGCTATCCCAGACCTTGTCGTGCTCCCTTCACTCGCATTTCAATTTCCTGTGCTTGTAGATTACTTTTTCTGAAGAGTATTTCAATGAAAGCTACCCGAAATTGCCTTCTTCTAATACAGTAAATAACTGGGTTTATAAGCGAATTAAGTAGTATCGGAAAGCCCGCTATAGCATAAGCAATATGTGCTACATTTAAGGAATCGAAGAAAGTGTTTCGTATGAGTATTCCAATAATAACCGCAAGTAAATACGTCGGTAGCAAGAAGAACAAAACAGTCGTTGTGAGTTTAAGAGCTTTTTTCTCCTTCACGAATTTTTCTCGGTCGTTTTCTGAAACTTGGTGAGCAGCGATTTGTTTTTCGTGACGGCGAGTCTCGTAGTAAAGGACGATTTGACAGAAAGTAATGATAGTTGTACAAAAGAACGTGATTATGGTGTCATCATTCAACGGTTTGTATAGTTTTTCGTTAAGAAAAGGTGAAGTTGCAGTCGACAGCAGAGCCACAGTCCACGCGAAAGCAGAAGAACAGAGAATGCGAGTTGCTGTGACCACAGTTGTATACCTGTACGGGTGCTTTATGGCAATATACCTGTCTAGGTACATTAGACATAGGTGTAACAGCGATGCCCTGACTAATACCGTGAGAACGGCCTTCGACAGCTGCCTTATGAAGCAGTGTGTATTAGAAGTCCCGGCTTGTAAAATTACTATGTTCAAGGCGATGAAAGTAGGCTGTCCAATGACCCCCACGAAGCAATCTGTAGTCGCTAAGCATGCGAGTGCTATATTGGACTTGGTTTGCAATCTGGATTTTGTTTTCACAGCGATTATGACAAGTCCGTTCAATAAACTTGTAAGGGGGGCAGTTACTATATTCATGATTATTAAGATAACAGTTACCGCACGTCCCTCTGTAGAATTGGAATCAGCAATCCCTCCTGCGCAGTGTACGCTGTTCGTGGCTGCGCTAGAACTCATCCTGATTTGAACCTTGACTTTTTGAAGTAAGCGGAAACTAACTTTACTGAATCCTAGCTCTTTCTTGACTATTGATGAATATTAGTACACAAGTACGATTAACTTCTTCACAGGAAACACTTTTCTTTGCACAACACTTAGGAAAGAAATTAGGGACTTAAAGGAAGGACTACGGAAGCTTTAGTTGGCACTTGACCGGAAGCAACTTTTTTTCCCCCTAAAGAGGTTCTTATAGATAATACCCGTTGCGATGGCGGTGCAACGTCGCGTCAAAAGTGAATTAGCGTTCTTTCAATCTTTATCGCGATTATTCTCTTTTGAATTTAAAGTCGAGCAGTAATCCCCCGCGGTACTACTATATATGTATTTGTATTTGCGGCTGTCTTCGTCGCTGGCGCAATTTCAACGCACCTTTATGTTCTTTGTCGCCAATTCAGCTGTTTTTTGTCGCTGTTTCAAGGCCATGTTGCCTGTCGGAATTTTAACCTAATAAATGTATACGTCAGAAACTGGAATAGTCTTTAGCAGAAACATCACTTTATTCTGAAATAAACACGTTTAGAGGCTTGCCACAAATTTTGTGTTAGAGACAGGTCTAATACTGAACATAACTACAGAATTGTGACAAACAAGCAAAGTCTCCTTTAAATTATGTGACGAGGTCCTCCCAACTCAAGTCAACTCATCAGAATTTTAAACAAAGCCAGACAAAGTGTATCAAACGCTTATTGACCGCTTAATAGATGTGACAACAATAGCAAAACTCTCTTCATTATTTTCAAGTAGAGGCCGCGGCTGCTTGATAGACGTTTAGTTTATAATTCTATTCTGCAATTTTTCCGAGACTGTTGTTTACTGGCCGCTTAAAAGAGGGCGGTCGTTTAATAGGTGGCTGGTTAAGGGACGTTGAACTGTACATGTAACTTTTTGCAAAATTATGAAAAAAGTTGTTTTGCTAAAGAAAGTGGTTTATATATTGTCATGTATATTCCAAAGTAAACGAAATTCAAAAGAGCCCTTACAGTGGCATAAATGTAAAGTGTCTTTTAAAGCCAGGAAATCAATTTGGCCACAAACAAAAGACTAGTTACTCTGACGGGATCAAGTGCATATTCTGTTAATTGTAAATCAAGAGAGAACGCTACTTGAGTGAATTTGAGTCTTTCAAGACTATTTCACTCACTGTTAGTCCAATATTTGCTTTGGAAGGCGCACTTAAGTTGATTGTCATTTGAGTTGAGTGTATATATTCTTTCTTTTGACTGCTACAAAAGGGTTACCTTGCAGTGGTGTCCATAGTTTTATTCACTTACTTTTCCTTTTAAACAACACTTTTCCTACGTTCATTGTACAGGGTTTCCATTTTTTTAAAAACCCGGGCTTATATTAGTTTTGGAAAGTAGAATTTAGATTCATTTTCATTTTAATTCCTATCACCATAACCTCTTGCCTAGTAGCTTTCGCAACCTCTTTTTAAGTAGTAATCAGATTCACCATTATGAAAGTTGAGTAGCCTCTCAGTATAGACCTCATTTAGAGGTAATAGTATATAGATTTAGCCGGGGCTAAAAGCGAAGTTCTCGATGATATTTATAGTTTGTTCAAACAAAATATAAAATCGTAATGCTAAGCGGCGAAGGCAACGCCGGGAACGGTGAAAAACAACAATATGTCTATAAAATTGACAGTAATTAGCAAGAAAGCAACTTTTCGCGTGCAGCACACTTTTTGTACATTTCTTTGCCGTTGTTTTGCACGACTACAACGTGAAACTTCCAGAAACTTCTTAGTTACACGTTTTATGGAGGAAATGTCGAACGTGTTGTCGTTCAATTTTTTCACTACCGCTCATTTTCACTTTGCATTGGTGGCCGCTAGCATTCCTCATTTTCTCATCGCCGCTACAAAATTTCCATGTTGTTCTTCCACAAAAAAAGTGTCTCCTTTGTTTTTATCTCTCGTTCTAGATCTCTGTCGCCCCTTTTCTCGTTGAGCTTCGCTGGCCTGCCGCCCACTTTCTCTTTTTCTATCTTTCTCTTACTCTATAGACATACCTCCGGAAAGTCGCAAAATTTTACAGACTTTTTGTACGGTAGAGGGGGGTGGGGGTGCTGGTACTAAAAATTACCCTGATGTGACGAATCTAGTGCAAATGTTATTTGTAAATTAAGTTGCGATAAGGCTTCTGAAGTAAACGTGAGTCCTTTCAGAGTATTCCAATGAACTCAAATCGTCAGATTTGATTGAAGTTGCTTGGGGTTGAATTGAGGAGGAAAAGCCAGCACTTTTACAGGCGTAGGAGGAAAAATTGATTTAGTTTATGTTGAAACGACAGCAAGTTAAAGTGCTGACAAACAAATGATATCTTAAGGTGACAGATCCGTTGAAAATCCTGTCAATCACGCAAAATCATTTTTAACCTGTGAATAAGACTTATGAGTCGTGTTCAGCCTGTCAACCCTTTATTTCAAACACTTGCCAAGGGTAATGACGTCATTACTAATGTCCTCTCCATCAATCAGCGTTTTGCATCGACTTTTTCGATTCAGAAATTGAAATTCCTGAGACGTGACTGCATGTTCTCCTTCATTTTTCGCCCCGCCACTAGAGCGCCCCGAAAAGGATGTTAGCGCGAAATTATTTCTTAGTTCCACTCGTCACCATTGGGTTACACATACTAATTATTTATTTTTTTATTTTTATTTCGCCACCTTTTAATGTTACAATTATAATAAAAATTACAAAGATTTTAGGAGAAAATGGCGGAAGGCCCAAAAGAAACCACCAGGCTTTTATAAAGTGGGCTTTCTCAACTGAATTGCATAAAACACAAAACACCTACAGGGTAATATCAATTGACCGGTCAAGGCAGAGTAACAATACGTAGTAATTGAGGTTAGTTTTTTTGGTTACTGTTTGTACTATTTGTTACATTTCGTATTGATTATTTTGACTTCGCCCAGACCTTCACAAGCTCCATTCACTCGCATTTCAATTTCTTGAACCTGTACGTTTCTTTTTGTGAAGAGTATTTCAATGAAAGCTACTCGAAATTCCCTTCTTCTAATACAGTAAATAACTGGGTTTATAAGCGAATTAAGTAGTATCAGACAGCTCGCTATCCCTAAAGCAATATGTGCTGCATTTAAAGAATGGAAGAAAGTGTTTCTCATCAGTATCCCAATAACAAGCACAGGACAGTAAGTCAGTAGCAAGAAGAACAAAACAGTCGTTGTGAGTTTAAGCGCTTTTTTCTCCTTTACGAATTTTTCCCTGTCGCGTTCTGAAACTTGGTGGGCAGCGATTTGTTTTTCGTGACGGCGAGTCTCGTAGTAAAGGACGATTTGAAAAAAAGTAATGATAGTTGTACAAAACAACGCGATTATGGTGTCATCAGTCAACGGTTTGTATAGTTTTTCGTTAAGAAAAGGTGAAGTTGCAGTCGACAGAAGAGCCACAGTCCACGCCAAAGCAGAAGAACAGAGAATGCGAGTTGCTGTGACCATAGTTGTATACCTGTACGGGTGCTTTATGGCAATATACCTGTCTAGGTGTATTAGAGCTAGGTGCAACAGCGATGCCCTGACTAATACCGTGAGTACGGCCCTCGACAGTTGCCTTATGAAGCAGTGTGTACTAGAAGTCCCGGCTTGTAAATTTACTATGCACACGGCGATGAAAGTAGGCTGTCCAATCACCCCCATGAAACAATCTGTGGTCGCTAAGCATGCAAGTGCTATATTGGACATGGTTTTGAATCGGGGTTTTGTTTTCACAACGATTATGACAAGTCCGTTCAATAAACTTGTAACGGGGGCAGTAATTATATTTGTGATTATTAAGATAAGAGTTGCCGCAGGAGCTTGTGTGAAATTAGAATCAACAATCTGTCCTTCGCAAGATGCGCTTGAATTCATGTTTTTCCAGTGTTGCGCTGAGACTTGCTTTTCGAGGTAAACAAGGACAAGGTTTGTACCATTCAGACGTAAAAGCTTTACTCTCTATTGACGATTGATGAACATTAGTACACAAGTGCGATTAGCTACGTCGCACTCATGACTTTGCTACCGGAAGATGCGCTCGAATTCATCTTGTTGTCAGCTTTGCTTTTCGAGGTAATCAAGAACTAGATTTATATCCTTCATGCGTAATGGCTTTACTCTTTCTTAACAATTGATGAACATTAGAGTACACAAGTGCGATTAGCTGCGTCGCAGGAAACACTTGACTTTGTACAGCACTTAAGAGTCAAATTATTTAGTAGGAAGTCGGCGAGCAAACTAGCAATTAGCGTTCTTCTAATTACCGTAATGTGATTTGTAAGTAATGCGAACGGAAAAACACAACAAAGGAAAAATGAAGTGAAATGAATTGAATTGAAAAACGCAAAATTCTCTTCGAAAATTAAACAACTTACTCTTTCTCATAACTCATTCACAAACCTTTGGAAATGAGGAATTAACTTTGCAAAATTGTAAAAATTGTTGTGCTACAGAAAGTGACTTGCATGTTGCAGTGTGTATTCGCCTTTCGCCGGCTGAATGTAATTTGGGGCTTAAACAGTCATAAACAGAAGAGTAGATTCAGTTTATATATAGTAAGTGACTTTGAAAAGCCAGCAGATTAAAGTGGCCGCATACGAAAAACAATATTCTGATTCTATAATATTTTCGGAACTTTGGGTACTTACCGCTTAAGAGGTGGCCGATTAATGGAGGTTCAACTGTACACTTAACTTTTAGCAAAATTCTAAACATTTAGTTTCTGCATAAGAAAGTGATTTTCATATTGTCATATGTAATCCAAGGTGGAAGATTCAAAAGAGCCCTTACAGTCGCTTAAAATGGAAAAAGTACATTGAGTTTAGAGTGTCTTTAAAAGGCCAGCAAATCAATCTGGTTGCAAACAAAAGATGTGTTACTGTGACGGATCTAGTGGATATCCTGTCAATTGTTAATCAAGTAGTTTGAACTTGAGTCCTTGAAGACTATTCCAACTCGCTTAATAATTTGCCTGTTATAATCGAATGTCGCTAGGGTTGATCTCTTAAGGACCGAATCCAAGTCCGTAATGAGAATTTTAAGCAAAATTTAGCACTTAGAAAGGCATAAAGAAGATAGTGGTTCATTTTACAGTAAGTTCAATCAGTTTGAACAGAAGGCCAATAAATTAGATCGGTTTCGATAAAAAGATATCTCAATGTTACGGATTTACCAAAAATCCAGTCAATTGCGCAAAATCAATTTTAACCGAAATACGAAAACAACTGTTGTGATCGATGTCACTATTCGTTCTCTCGCTTTGGGACTAAGCTGTGGAATGAGATACCATGTCACATCCGACATCTCCCTAAGAATAGATCCGACACTCCGCAAATTACTTTTTGATATTTTGAATTCAGGAAGATGACTATATTGATACGCCCACTTTAACAAAAAAGGTAAAATTAGCCAAAAATGTCGAGAAATAAATTCTTGCTTATTCGTTGCTACTTTTACAATTTTTTATTTGTATAGTTCATTCTTCTTTATCTTGTTATCTAGTTCTTATCCATATTACCATTTTTATTTCATTTATTTGTCAACTGTAATCTTTTCCTTTTAGAAACCGTCCAACAGAAATTTGTGATCTGCAGCCTTTTATAGTTTGTAAAGTCATTTTGACATTTCACCAATGTTGGTGTCACTGCTATCATTGTCATTGTGGTTCTCAATGTTACGAACGTCATTGTCGCTCTTGGTGTGACCAGTGGCGATGCCAATGTGATCGCTATTGTTGTGACTGTTATCATTGCCGTTGTTACTGCCAAGGCTGTTGTCACTGTTGTCAATTTCATTGTCGCTAATGATGTTGTTTATAGTTACTATTGGTATGAGTAATGCCGGCGGCATTGCTGTATTGATCCTTGTCGCAGCCAATATTGTTGACGCCGCATTCAACTGTGGGCTGGCAGTGCTGAGTGAATTTTCCTGTTCTAGAGTTTGACCTCGCCATTTCAATCCTTCTTGTGCTCTTTTCACTTGCATTTCAATTTCTTTAGCCTGTACGTTACTTTTTCTGAAGAGTATTTCAATGAAAGCTACCCGAAATTGTCTTCTTCTAATACAGTAAATAACTGGATTTATAAGCGAATTAAGTAGTATCAGAAAGCCTGCTGTCTTTTTAGCAATGCGTGCTGCATGTATCGACTGGATAAAGGAGATTCTGATAAGTATAGTAACAACAATCAAAGGTGAAAAGCTCACTACCAACAAGAAGAGAACAGTCGTTGTGAGTTCAAGAGCTTTCTTCTCCTTTACGAATTTTTGTCTTTCGTCTTCTGAAACGTTGTGGGCAGCGATCTGTTTTTCTTGACGGCGAGCTTCGTAGTAAAGAACGACTTGACAGAAAATAATGTTTTCTGCACAGGAAAACGCAATGATCGTGCTACCATTGGTTAACTGGCCTAAGGGATTGTTGTTAGAAAAGAATGGAGTTGCAGTCGAGACTAGAGCCACAATCCACACAAAAGCGGAAGAGCAGAGAATGCGAGATGTTGTGACCATATTTGTGTACCTGTACGGGTGCTTTATGGCAATATACCTGTCTAGGTATATCAGAGCTAAGTGTAACAGCGATGCCCTGCCTAATACCGTTACAACGGCGTTCGAGAGTTTCCTTATGAAGCAGTACGTATTAGAACCCTCGACTTGTAAAATTACTATGTTCAAGGCGATGAAAGTAGGCTGTCCAATCACCCCCATGAAGCAATCTGTAGTCGCTAAGCATGCGAGTGCTATATTGGACTTGGTTTTCAATCTGGATTTTGTTTTCACAGCGATTATGACAAGTCCGTTCAATAAACTTGTAACGGGGGCAGTTATTATATTCATGATTATTAAGATAACAGTTACCGCACGAGCCTCTGTAGAATTGGAATCAACAATCCCTCCTTCGCAGTGTACGCTGTTCGTGGCTGCGATAGAACTCATCCTGATTTGAACCTTGACTTTTCGAAGTAAGCGGAAACTAACTTTACTGAATCCTAGCTCTTTCTTGACAATTGATGAATATTAGTACACAAGTACGATTAACTTCTTCACAGGAAACACTTTTTTGATAATGACAAGTCCGTTCAATAAACTCTTTCAGAGTATTCCATTAAACTCAAAATTGTCAGATTTGATTGAATTTGCTTGGGGTTGAATTGAGGAGGAAAAGCCAGCACTTTTACAGGCGTAGGAGGAAAAATTGATTTAGTTTATGTTGAAACGACAGTAAGTTAAAGTGGTGACAAACAAATGATATCTTAAGGTGACAGATTTTGTGAAAATCCTGTCAATCACGTAAAATCATTTTTAACCTGTGAATAAGACTTATGAGTCGTGTTCAGCCTGTCAACCCTTTATTTCAAACACTTGCCAAGGGTAATGACGTCATTACTAATGTCATCTCCAGCAATCAGCATTTTGCATCGACTTTTTCGATTCAGAAATTGGAATTCCTGAGACGTGACTGCACGTTCTCCCTCATTTTTCGCCCCGCCACTAGAGCGACCCGAAAAGGATGCTAGCGCGAAATTATTTCTTGGTTCCACTCGTCACCATTTGGTTACACATACTAATTATTTATTTATTTATTTTTATTTCCCCACCTTTCAATGTTACAATTATAATAAAAATTACAAAGATTTTAGGAGAAAATGGCAGAAGGCCAATAAGTAACCACAAGGCTTTTGTAAAGTGGGCTTTCTCAACTAAATTGCATACAACGCAAAACACCTACAGGGTAATATCAATCGACCGGCCAAGGCAGAGTAACAATACGAACCTGTTAGTTTTTTGGTTAGTGTTTGTACTATTTGTTACATTTTCCTACTGATTATTTTGACTTAGCTCAGAGCTTCTCAAGCTCCATTCACTGGCATTTCAGTTTCTTGAACCTGTACATTTGTTTTTGTGAAGAGTATTTCAATGAAAGCTACTCGAAATTCCCTTCTTCTAATACAGTAAATAACTGGGTTTATAAGCGAATTAAGTAGTGTCAGACAGGTCGCTATCCCTAAAGCAATATGTGCTGCCTTTAAAGAATGGAAGAAAGTGTTTCTCATGAGTATCCCAATAACAAACACAGGGAAGTAAGACAGTAGCAAGAAGAACAAAACAGTCGTTGTGAGTTTAAGCGCTTTTTTCTCCTTTACGAATTTTTTCCGGTCGTCTTCTGAAACTTGGTGGGCAGCGATTTGTTTTTCGTGACGGCGAGTCTCGTAGTAAAGCACGATTTGACAAAAAGTAATGATAGTTGTACAGAAGAACCCGATAATGTTGCCATCAGTCAACGGTTTGTATAGTTTTTCGTTAAGAAAAGGTGAAGTCGCAGTCGACAGCAGAGCCACAGTCCACGCGAAAGCAGAAGAACAGAGAAGGCGAGTTGCTGTGACCATAGTTGTATACCTGTACGGGTGCTTTATGGCAATATACCTGTCTAGGTATATTAGAACTAGGTGCAGCAGCGATGCCCTGACTAATACCGTGAGAACGGCCTTCGACAGTTGCCTTATGAAGCAGTGTGTATTAGAAGTCCCGGCTTGTAAATTTACTATGCACACGGCGATGAAAGTAGGCTGTCCAATCACCCCCATGAACAAATCTGTGGTCGCTAAGCATGCGAGGGCTATATTGGACATGGTTTTGAATCGGGGTTTTGTTTTCACAGCGATTATGACAAGTCCGTTCAATAAACTTGTAACGGTAGATGTAATTATATTCGTGATTAGTAAGATAAGAGTTGCCGCAGGCGCTTGTGTTAAATTCAAATCAACAATCTGTCCTTCGCAAGATGCGCTTGAATTCATCTTTTTCCAGTGTTGCGCTGAGACTCGCTTTTCGAGGTAAACAAGGACAAGATTTATACCAGTCAGACGTAATGGCTTTACTCTCTCCTGACTACTGATGAACATTAGTACGCAAGTGCGATTAGCTAAGTCGCAGGAAACACTTTGCTTTGTTTAACACTTAAGAGTCAAATTAGTGAGAAGTCAGCGAGCAAACTAGCAATTAGCGTTCTTCTTATTACCGTAATGTAATTTGTAAGTGACGCGAATGGGAAAATACAACAAAGGAAAACTAAGATGACATGAATTCAATTGAAAAACGCCAAATTCGGTTGGAAAACTAGACAACTTACTCTTTCCCATGACTTATCCACAAACCTCTGGAAATGAGCAATTAACTTTGCAAAATTTAAAAATTGTTTTGCTACAGAAAGTGATTTGCATGTTGGGGTGTGTATTCGCCCTTCGCAGACTGAATGTACTTTGCTAACTTGTTGATTCTTTAAAAAAAAGTAGAAAAGTAAAGAGTAGATTTAGTTTACAGTAAGCGAATTTGAAAGGACAGCAGATTAAAGTAGCTGCATCCAAAAAACAGCTTGATGTGACAAATGTAGTCAAACTGCCATTTCTTAATTAAGTATCGAGAAGGCTGGTTAAGTGAATCTGAGTCCTTCAAGGCTATTTCAATTTAAACAGCCACTGATATGATCGAATGTGTCTGGGGTTGAATTGAGTAGGAAACACCAGCACTTATACAGGCGTTAGGTACGAGGACAAATTGATTTAGTTTATGTCGAATGGACGGCATATCAGGGTTGTCACTAAAATTTCAAGTTGCCGGGTAAATACAACAAGTAGGCGGGGAATCAAACAGCAAAAATTTCTTTTGGTTCTTTTTTTCTTCTATTTTCCAATAAAAGTAGCCGGGGACCACACTCATAGTAGCCTGGGGAAACCCCCGGTCCCCGGCTCTTAATGACAGCCCTGCATATGAAAGTGGTGACGAACAAGTGATATCTTAATGTGACAAATCTCGTAAAAATCCAGTCAATCGCGCAAAATCATTTTAACTTGTGAATAAGACTGTTGAGATTGATGTCGTTGCTCGCTGACAGGAGAATGAAAAATCCTGTCTTTTTCCAGACTGCTGTTTTTGTTTTTTTGAAGACAAATTCCAAGTTAGTTACATTTTCTTCATACTCGCCAAAGAGATGCGGAAGGACGAAGTATATATGATGATTTACAGTAACCGAAGTTGTGTAACTTAGGAACTGTTTGGTTTTTTTTTGGTAATGTGTCGCTATATGTGGTTTACACACACGGTGTAACCAGTAGACATAAAACAAAGATCGCATTAATAGACCCTCCCACGGTATTTTCAGCGTTTGATGTGGATCAGTTGGCGAACTAAAATCCGCCGACGCCGCTTCAAGGAACGCGTTAAATTAATAAAAATGTTACATTCTGGGAAAGATTTGGTGAAAACTAGCGAAGATATAGTTCCCGAAAGTCTCGAAATTTTACACTTGGACGGTAGAGACGGGGGTGGAAGCTGATGGGAGCAAGTTTGTACATAAACCAATACGTTTTCAGTGAGCGGCATTTGTACGCTAGTGTCGAAAGCTGTATTTAAAAAGAATGGCATATCTTTATTTGAACACGATAATTTTACAGTGTCACTTATGTGGTCTTAATTCGGTACTTAAAAAGATGTAAATGGAAAGAGTAAAGTCAGTTTATAGTAACTAACAAAAGTGACCTTGAAGAGTCTAGTGCAAATGTTATTTGTAAATTAAGTTGCGAGAAGACTCGGAAGTAAACCTGAGTTCTTTTAGCCTATTCCAATGAACTCAAATTGTCAGATTTGATGGAAGTTGCTTGAGGTTCAATTGAAAAGGAAAAACCAGCACTTATATAGGCGTAGGAGGAAAAATTGATTTAGTTTGTTTTGAAAGGACAAGTGGTGACAAACAAATGAGATCTTAAGGTGACAGATTAGTGAAAACACTTTCAATCACGCAAAATCATTTTTAACCTGTGAATAACACTTTATGAGTCGTGTTCACCCTGTCAACACTTTATTTCAAACACGCGCCAAAGGTAATGACGTCATTACTAATGTCATCTCCGTCAATTAGTATTTTGCGTCGACTTTTTCGATTCGGAAATTGAAATTCCTGAGACGTGACTGCAAGTTCTTCCTCATTTTTCGCCCCGCCACCAGAGCGCCCCGAAAAGTGATGCTAGCAGGCTAGAGAAATTATTAGAATTTGGACAAAACGCGCGTGAAATTGTTCCTAATTCGACTCGTCGCCATTTGGTTCAGTCTACATACTGATTATTATTTATTCTTATTTCGCCACCATTTAATGTTACAATCATACTAACAATTACAAAGATTTTGCGAGAAAATCGCAAGAGAGCCTAAAGAAACCAAAAAGCTTATGCAAAGTGGGCTTTCTCAACTAAATTTCGTAAAACACCAACAGGGTAATATCAATTGACCGGTCAAGGCAAAGTAACAATACGTAGTAATTGAGGTTAGTTTTTTGGGTTACTGTTTGTATTATTTGTTACATTTTCCTGTTGATTATTTTGAATTCGCTATCCCAGACCTTCTCGTGCTACATTCACTCGCATTTCAATTTCCTGTGCCTGTAGATTACTTTTTTGGAAGAGTATTTCAATGAAAGCTACCCGAAATTGCCTTCTTCTAATACAGTAAATAACTGGGTTTATAAGCGAATTAAGTAGTATCAGAAAGCTCGCTATCGCATAAGCAATATGTGCTGCATCTAAGGAGTCGAAGAAAGTGTTTCTTATGAGTATTCCAAAAACAACCACCGGTAAATACGTCAGTAGCAAGAAGAACAAAACAGTCGTTGTGAGTTTAAGCGCTTTCTTCTCCTTTACGAATTTTTCTCGGTCGTTTTCTGAAACTTGGTGGGCAGCGATTTGTTTTTCGTGACGGCGTGTCTCGTAGTAAAGCACGATTTGACAGAACGTAATGATGGTTGTACAAAACAACGCGATTATGGTGTCATCATTCAACGGTTTGTATAGTTTTTCGTTAAGAAAACTAGAAGTTGCAGTCGAGAGCAGAGCCACAATCCACGCAAAAGCGGAAGAACAGAGAATGCAAGTTGATGTGACCATATTTGTATACCTGTACGGGTGCTTTATGGCAATATACCTGTCTAGGTACATTAGAGCTAGGTGTAACAGCGATGCCCTGACTAATACCGTGAGAACGGCCCTCAACAGTTGCCTTGTGAAGCAGTATGTATTAGAAGTCCTGGCTTGTAAAATTGCTATGTTTACGGCGATGAAAGTAGGCTGACCAATCACCCCCATGAACAAATCTGTGGTCGCTAAGCATGCAAGTGCTATATTGGACCTACTCCTCAATCGAACTTTTGCTTTCACAGCGATTATGACAAGTCCGTTCAATAAACTTGTAACGGGAGTAGTAATTATATTCATGATTATTATGGTAACAGTTACCGCACGAGCTTGAGTGGAATTAGAATCAAGAATCCTCCCTTCACATCCAGTCATGACTTCGCTACTGGAAGATGCGCTTGAATTCATCTTGTTCTCAGCTTTGCTTTACGAGGCAATCAAGAACTAAATTTATATCCTTCATGCGTAATGGCTTTACTCTCTCTTAACAATTGATGAACATTAGTATTAGAGTAGTGCGATTAGCTGCGTCGCAGGAAACACTTTACTTTCGTACAGCACTTAAGAGTCAAATTATTTAGTAGGAAGTCGGCGAGCAAACTAGCAATTAGCGTTCTTCTAATTACCGTAATGTGATTTGTAAGTAATGCGAACGAAAAAACACAACAAAGGAAAAATGAAATGAATTGAATTGAAAAACGCGAAATTCTCTTCGAAAACTAAACAACTTACTCTTTCCCGTAACTCATTCGCAAACCTTTGGAAATGAGGAATTAACTTTGCAAAATTGTAAAAATTGTTGTGCTTCAGAAAGTGACTTGCATGTTGCAGTGTGTATTCGCCTTTCGCCAGCTGAATGTAATTTGTTGCTTAAACAGTCACAAACAGAAGAGTCGATTCAGTTTATAGTAAGTGACTTTGAAAAGCTAGCGAATTAAAGTGGCCGCATACAAAAAACAGCTTAATGTGACAGTGTAGTACAACTTTTAATTGTTCATTACGTACCGAGAAAGCTACTTGTAATAAGTGAATTTGAGTCGAAGAATGAACTCAATTTGTCAGATCTAATCAAACGTGATTGGGGTTGAATTGTGGAGAAAAAAAAAACAGCAGTTATAAAGGCGTAGATTCCTTCCAACATCAGTTATGTTGGAAGGACAGCAAATTAAAGTGGTAACAAACGAACGATATCTTAATGTAACGGTTGTGGTAAAAATCCTGTCAATCGTGCAAATCATTTTTGACCTGTGAATAAGACTGTAGTTGTGATTGATGTCATTTTTCGTTTGTTCTTTAAATCGTTAACATCTGACAGGCAATTCTATGAAAAACTGTCTTTTTTCCCGACTGTTTTTTCCCTTTTGAAGACAGATTTCCAAGTTAATTACGTCTTCTGTGAAAGAAGCCCTTTAAGTCGTTTAAAGATACCAATTTTGAATGATTTGTTTTAAGCTAATAAAGATATAGCTCAGAAAAGTCGCGAAATTTTACGGACGTTTGTATGGCGGGGGGCAGGCTCGTACCCTCCACCATATAAACACCTGTACAATTACGCTACTTTGGGAAGCAATGCCTTCGCTCTCTTCAGAATACACTTTAAAATTTGCAGATTTGCTAATTTTGCCCTTTCTAGCAGTCTCGATAAACATTCGCTAACTGGTTCCTTTAAAACATGAAACAATAATAATATTAATAATAATGAAAGAAGGTAGAACCGCTTTTTGTTTTCAGAAAACATAGACCAAATAATGGTCGTGTATAATATGACTGTTAAACTGAATAAATAGTAATAGAGGTCCGAAGCATGGAATCAGTTAATAACAGTTTTTGATTAAGAGTTTTTACATTCTATTTACAATAATTTTATTGAGTGTCTTTTGGATACATAGTGCAGTGAGAAAAATTGTTAAAGGTACGGAAAAACAGGCAACAAAAAACGTGCAACTTGTCTTGCAACATTGCCGCAAAACGAGTTGAATACCGATGTGCGCGTTTTACCACCTGCATCAAACCTGTCTTGCAACAAATCAGGTTGTCTACAGGTTTGAACATGGGTTGTAAAACGTGCAACATCCCATTGGCTATTCAACTCGTTTTGAAGCAATGTTGCAAGACAAGTTGCAGGTTTTTTGTTGCCCGTTTTTCCGTGCCTTAAGAAAAATTCAAAGTAAACGAAATACTACGAAATACTTATAAAGTTTAAGATCCGTAAGTCATTTTCACTGTGTTTTTCTAAAGCCAGGCACTAAAGTTGATTTCGCTTCTTATTGCCCTTTCCTTGGTAAGAAAAGATCGGTCGGTCGGGAAGGACAAAGAAACCGAGGAAGAAAGACAAGACAAAAGATAAAAGAAAAGATAAAAAAAGAAATAAAGGAAACATAAAATTTCATAGCCAACCGAGAGATCGTGTTGTCCATTCGTTTAAGTGAAGATCGAACGACGGCGGCCGCGACAGTTAAGTTTTATTAATACATATTTATTTATATTTATATCGCCACCTTGTTATGTCACAGTTTTACGAGAAAATGGCAAGAACGCCCCCCAAAACAGGAGGCTTATGCCACGTGGGCTTTGTCAACTAAAGTGCAAAAAATCACCAAATGTTAATTGAAAGGCGAATCCACAGTAACAATACGAACTAACTGAGGTGAAGTTTTTTGGTTCCTGCAGGTACTATTTGTTACACTTTCTTGTTCAGTATTTTGACTTCGCCATCCCAGTCCTTCTCGTGCTCCATTAACTCGCATTTCAATTTCCTGTGCCTGTAGATTACTTTTTCTGAAGAGTATTTCAATGAAAGCTGCCCGAAATTGTCTTCTTCTAATACAATAAATAAGTGGATTTATAAGCGAATAAAGTAGTATCGGATAGCTCGCTATCGCTAAAGCAATACGTGCTGCATTTGAGGAATCGAAGAAAGATTTTTTTATAAGTATTCGAACAACAATCACAGGACAGTACGTCAGTATTAAGAAGAAGAGAACTGTCGTTGTGAGTTTCAGAGCTTTCTTCTCCTTTACGAATTTTTTCCGGTCGTCTTCTGAAACTTGGTGGGCAGCGATTTGTTTTTCGTGACGTCGAGTCTCGTAGTAAAGCACGATTTGACAAAAAGTAATGATGGCTGTACAGAAAAACGCGATCATAGTACCATCAGGAAACTTATTCTCAATTTTGTTGTTCGTGAGGAAAGAAACTGCAGTCGAAAGGATCGCCACAGTCCACGCAAAAGCGGAAGAACAGAGGATACGAACTGCTGTGACCGTATTGGTATACCTGTATGGGTGCTTTATGGCAATATACCTGTCTAGGTAGCTTAGAGCCAGGTGCAAGAGCGATGCCCTGGCTAATACCTTCAGAACGAAGTTATGGAGCTGCCTGATGAAGCAGTATGTATAGGAAGCCTCGGCTTGTAGCATGGCCATGTTTTTCGCGATGTAAGTGGACTGTCCAAATACACCCATTAAACAATCTGTGGTCGCCAAACATGCCAGTGCTATATTGGAGTTGGTTTTCAATCTGGATTTTGTTTTCACAGCGATTATGACAAGTCCGTTCAATAAACTTGTAACGGGGGCAGTTATTATACTTATGACTATTAAGAAAACAGCTACGACACTAGCCTCTGTGGAATTAGAATCAAGAATTCCTCCTTCACACCCAGTAATGTTTTCGCTACCGGAAGGTGCGCTTGAATTCATCTTCTTCTGAGCCTCGCTTTTCGAGGTAAACGAGAAGTAAATTTATATCCTTCGGGCGTAATGGCTTTACTCTCTCTTAACAATTAATGAACATTAGTACACAAGTGCGATTAGCTTCGTCTCTGGAAACACTTTTCTTTGCACAGCACTTAAAAGTCAAATTATTTAGTAAGTGGCCAGCTGGCAAACGAGCAATTAGAATTAACCTAATGTACTTTGTTAGTGGGGCGTGGAAAAACGAAAAAACACTAAATACTAAGCAACTTACTCTTTACCAAAATTCATCTACAAACCTTTGGAAATGAGTTAGCTTGAGTTATAAACTTTGCAAAATTTTGAAAAATGTTGTGCTACAGAAAGTGATTTGCATGTCGCGGTGTGTACTCGCAAGCTGAATGTAAAGATAAAATTTATATTGGTACTTAAAAAGACATGAACGGAAAGAATAGACTCAGTGTATAGTAGGTGACTTTGTAAGGCGAGTAAATTAAGAGAAAAAGGAAAATTAAATAAGAAACAGATTGATGTGACGAATCTGTACTACTAGATTTCGTAACATGAAAAAGGTTTCTTTTTGCATGCGCCCACTTTAATTAACACTACAAGAAGGATAATTTAAAACATCGCATTAATTGACCTTCTCACGGTGGGTGTTTTTAACCTTTGACGTGGGCCACCAGTTAGCGAAAATCCAATAAATGTGTGTGAAGAGTCTCGCTTAAATTCATCCTACTTGCTTGAACTTACCTGTGGTTTCTCGGCTTGAACAGAGGAAGTCTCTCGAAGTCTCGTCTAATATATATCGTTTTTAATGTTTAGTTTACGCAGCCTATTTTACGTGGTTATCCTTGGACTAAGTTCGTTGAAGCTTGTTTTAACTAAGGAAAATTCTCTGCTCTGAACAAACGTTAACGAAAGGCAGGTGTTTCAAAGACAGGTGAACATATAAGCTGTCGCTTCCTGCTGATGGACACTTTAATTCCGACCAATTAAGAAAAAAGAGTTACTTTTGTTTAGCGAGACTCGGTTGATGTTAATAGAGGTCGAGGAAAATTTCTTTTCCAATGGAAACACTCTTTTGTGAACAGCCATGCCAAATACGATATAAAAGTTGACTAGCATCTCAAAAGACTTCCCTCAAAAACGAAAAGATTTATTTTTTTTGTTAGTGGTGCACGAAAAGAGGAGGAGCAAATTCTGTTTTGTTCAAAAATTTCGTATTTGTTTGCGAATTTAAAGAAATATGTGTAGGTTGTTTTCCTTTTCAGAAACGAGACCTTGTTACACCCTATTTAAATAAGCAAGAAATGAAAATTAATAAAATAATACAATCTTTACATGTCGCCCTAGCTGGCATCATTCTCAACATTCAAACGTTGTGTAAATTAATTATTAGATGTATGTTGTCAAAGAGACTTCCGCATGGCAAAATTAGTAGAAAATTATGATATGTATTGCAAATCATATTTTTTTTCTCTTTTGGTTAAAATTTTAATTTGTTCCTCGAAAATTATCTAATTTATTATTTTTTTTTTTTTAATTAGCCATGGATTTGATAGCATCAGCAGTTGCACTTTCCACTAACCCTCCTGCAAGTAAAGCAACAGCATTTTAAGATAGGGAAAATCTGGGAAAACTGGTGAACTCCTATTGTAGAAAATCACTTTTGAAGGAGAACAAAGCCTGAGAAAACAACCTACATTTCCCGACGTCACCACTGGTTTCCACTCGAAATGACCTCCGAGAAACCAGCGCAGAAACTCCTTACCAATGACGTGTCACTAACCAGGTCTGGGTTGTGCTTCTGATTGGTTGAGGCAAATTTCCTACTCGGCACGACCAATCAGAAGCAGTACCTAGGTCTGGGTAGTGATACGTCATCAGTATGAAATTTCTGCGTTCGTTCCTCAGGAGTGATTTCGCGGGGAGGCCAGAGATGGCGTCGCGAAATGTCGACTGCTTTCTCAGGCTAGAGAGAAAACACTGCCTATTAAAAATTCGACTCAAACTTCAACATAACAAATATTAGAAAACAAACAAGCACAAACTTAAAACATTCCCCAGCTTAACTGATTGTTTAGCAAACGAAACCAGTTTAGTAGTTCATTTGGGTTTTTATCAGAAACAAAGCCGAGTAGGAACTTGCAGACAAATGTGTTCGATGCAAACAAATTATAGTTGATAAGAAGATAAGAAATCGTCACAAATTTTAGCATATTGAAGATAGGATATTTCGTAGTATACAGGTTTCAGTTCTCGAAAGTAAAGGTATTATTTTCTTTATTGAAATTTGCTGAATTTACAACTAGCATGTCAGTCGTTTTTGTTATTACAATCGTTCAGTTATTACGATCCTATGCGAAAAGCAAATACATGTAGTTCGTGTACTGTGCTTAGATGGGTTTTTGCATAAGTTAATTATTTTTACAGCTTTTTCTCCTCTGATTTTAAAGATAGCTTGTCATTTGACTTCACTTGTTATGAGGTTACATGAACGTTGTTGTCGCCTTGTTCGATCTGTAGTTGCCGTTCTTGCAACATTCGACTACATCGCCTTCGCTGTTTTTCCGTTGCCTCATTCCGTGTCTCATGAGGTGCTACACCTTGTTCAGTGTTCCAAATATTCGTTTTTTAGTGTTCTCAGCTTGTACAGTTGTTTTCCTGCGGAGAATTTCAGTAAAAGCTACGCGAAACTCTCTTATTCTGATGCAATAAATAATTGGCTTGATGAGCGAATTAAGAATGCCTGCAAAACGTGCTATCAAGAAAATAATGTACGTTACATTTAACGAGATGATTATAGAAATTTTTCAAAGTACTGAATCAACAAGAATATGCCTATACCAAAAAAAAAGGTATAGTCGTTGTGAGCCTACAGGATTTTTTGTCTTTTACGAGTTTTTGTTTTTCTTCTTCTGGAACTTGTTTGACAGCTATTTGATTTCTATGTCTTCGTGTCTCCTGTAGAAACACATGTTCATGAGTGTCGAGTGAAGACCTGAAGCCACGACAAGCAGCCTTATAAATGTGATTTACGGTGCTAAAAGTGAGCAGTATGCCCTAGATCCTTGACCCTGTAGCAGCACTTTCAGTAGGGCGATAACAGCAGGCTGCTCAATCGCCCCCATCACACATTCGGTTGTCGCTTGCTTTTCCATGATTTTCCCCGACAGGGAACAATTCCTGTAGAGTACCTTGTTATTCCAATACAATTTGTCGGCGACTTCTGCTTATCTAACCTTCAAGTTGCATATCAGTCGATTTAGTTATCGTAATTGTTTAGTCCCTGGTTTAGTCATTGCAAACTTTTGCTCAAGGGAAATGGTTCCTATACAAAAACTGGATATGTCATTACCGTTATTGCTCTCACCATTAATCTGTTTACAGCCACCATGTTGTTGCCGTTCTTATATCATCGTCTTCATTGCTATTTCCTTGTTGGTATCGTTGTCACCAATGTTATTACTGTTATTGCTCTCACTGTTGATCTGTTCACAACCACCATGTTGTTGCTGTTCTTGTTTTATTTTCTTCATTCCTACTTGTCCAGTAATCACTGATTCATGCGTTACTCCATTGGTCTTTGTTCCAAATATACTTTTATGTGTCAATAGTAAGAAGAAAAATATAGTTGCTGTCTGCTGGAAAGCATTTTTGTCTTTAACGAATTTTTGCCTGTTTTCTGTTGAAACTTGGTGGGCAGCAATACATTTTCTATGTCTTTTAATTTCCTGGAAAATCACAATTTGACAGAAAAGTATGATACACATACATAAAAATGCCATCAAACTGGTGATCACTAAGTAAATATCATTTCCTGGTAAAGGGAAAGACAATGTTACAATGAAAGAAACAACCCACACGAAAACAAATTAATGGAGATGGAGGCACCATTTGATGGGCTCCTGTTGTTACCCCTTGTTACCCTTGTTACCCCTTGTTACCCCTCGTTACCCCTTGTTACCCTTGTTACCCCTTGTTACCCTTGTTACCCCTTGTTACCCTTGTTACCCCTTGTTATCCTTGTTACCCTTGTTACCCCTTGTTACCCCTTGTTACCCTTGTTACCCTTGTTACCCTTGTTACCCTTGTTACCCCTTGTTACCCTTGTTACCCTTCTTGTTACCCTTGTTACCCTTGTTTTGTTACCCTTGTTACCCTTGTTGTTACCCCTTGTTACCCCTTGTTACCCTTGTTACCCTTGTTACCCTTGTTACCCTTGTTACCCCTTGTTACCCCTTGTTACCCTTGTTTTGTTACCCCTTGTTACCCTTGTTACCCTTTGTTACCCTGTTACCCCTTGTTACCCCTTTTTTTACCCCTTGTTATTTTGTTACCCCCCTTGTTACCCCTTGTTACCCTTGTTACCCCTTGTTACCCTTGTTACCCCTTGTTACCCCTTGTTACCCTTGTTACCCTTGTTACCCCTTGTTACCCCTTGTTACCCCTTGTTACCCTTGTTACCCTTGTTACCCCTTGTTACCCTTGTTACCCTTTGTTACCCCTTGTTACCCTTGTTACCCTTGTTACCCCTTGTTACCCTTTGTTACCCCTTGTTACCCTTGTTACCTTTGTTACCCTTTGTTACCGTTGTTACCCTTGTTACCCCTTGTTACCCTTGTTACCCCTTGTTACCCTTGTTACCCTTGTTACCCTTTGTTACCCCTTGTTACCCCTTGTTACCCTTGTTACCCCTTGTTACCCTTGTTACCCTTGTTACCCCTTGTTACCCTTGTTACCCTTGTTACCCCTTGTTACCCTTGTTAACCCTTGTTACCCTTTGTTACCCTTGTTACCCTTGTTACCCTTTGTTACCCTTGTTACCCTTTGTTACCCCTTGTTACCCCTTTTTACCCTTGTTACCCCTTGTTACCCTTGTTACCCTTGTTACCCCTTGTTACCCCTTGTTACCCCTTGTTACCCCTTGTTAC